ATATTATATTATTTCGATGGTTTCAGCTCATGTAATTATTTATTCTTCATATTTGATCGTTTAATAAATTACATTTATCCCAGAAAAGCTGTGTGGTCCTAAATATAAACAAGTTTAGCAAATCAAGAACCTTGTTTTTTATATAAAATTGTGAATGAAATTTGTGGATCTTTACGATAAATTAAGATAAGATTTAAAACTCTTTCACCTAGAGAACATGGTAAGTTGTTTTTATTTTTTTAATATATGTAATTTTTTTGACTGGGGTGTTAAACAGAGAATCATGTTCGTTTTAATATGGGGAAAACAAATGTTCTGTTAGTTAATGTGGTTTAATTAGAAAAACTCAGTGGAATCTCACAGAAAGACAGCCTGCGCGTGCAGTGACGCGCTCATACAGCAGTCTCTCAGGAGGAGAGTTTAGTCACTCACACAGAGTTGGACAGATCTGTTCAATAACAACATTCTGAACATATATTTAATATGAAGTTAGGTTTTACAGACCAAAGTCTCTTGTAGTTCAGGAGCAAAGTGCAGGAGGAGATGTGACTGAACGCTTCAGCAGCTCGAGTCGAGCCGGTCCGCTGCTTCAACCAAACCTGCTCTCACTGAAAGTCCTGCCCTGCTCTGCTCTGATTGGACAAAACGGCTCTGGACTTCGTCTGATTTGTTGAAGGCAGTGTCCGTTCAATCCTTATATCAGGGTCCTGCTCTGGTGCACCGAACAATGATCCATTCACATCAGTGCCACTGGATTCTTTTTTCTTTTTTTTTTAAGAAATCAGGTCGCGTTTGCAACCACACTGGTCGCACTCTAGAGCCCTGCTAGCTATTGCTTTGACAGACAATCAGGTACAATCTTAGGTACGCAGGGGAGCTTTATGACGTCCCATCTGGTGCGCTTTTTCCTTTTTTGACCACGCAAGCGCACTGGTTATGTGCACCTCTGATTATAAACACTTGTTTAATGTTTGTTTGTCTGTAATTCTTCCCTACACTCGCTGCAGCTGCATGAATCTGTTTTGTCTCCTTCGCTCTCTAATGACAGAAATGAGGACAAACTGGTGGAAAAAAGAACAATCTGCCCATTTTTACAGAAAACAATCAGACGTCTCATCAGTCTCACAATGTCAACGTTGTTTTCTCCTCTCTGCTGCCTCTGCTTCTGTTTTACACCCATCCTGTTATTTAATAAATAACTTTAAGTCTGTTTCACTTTTATTCAGCTCATATATTTAACAGTGTGAACGCTTCACAGCATTCACTCTGTTTAGACCATTTTCTTCTCTCGTACGTTTTTCGGCATGTATTTTCCACAATTTTTGTGCAAAATGTTCAATTCCTTCAAGACATTCCGGCTATGACTGTTGGTATTTCAGCTTTTTCTACTTTTATGTCACTTTTTCGGCCACTTTTTTCCCCATTGAAAATGAGTGAATCTGTTTTTAACATCCTTAAAATCCTTAAAATGTTTTTAAATCTATACAGCACCTCACAGCTTTGTTCTGCTTCTGCTCTTTTTAACTTCATTGTGCTAATTTAAGCTTCTTTTTTGGCTAATTTTAGCTTTTTTCATCTATTTCAGCAACAATTCTGCTTCTTTTTGCTAATTAGAGATATATCTGCCTTTTACAATTGCTTTATGCTATATTCAGCTATTTGCTGCAATTTTAGCTAATGTTTAGCTGTTATTAACTAAAGTTAGCTTTTTAAAGCTAATTTCACATGTTGGTTGCCATTTCAGCTTCTTCTGCTTGGTTCAGCAAACTAACTGTTTTAGCTATTTTACAACAAATTGTCGCTTTTTTGTACTTTTGTTATTTTCTGCTAATTTTACATTTTTTACAACACTTTCACCATATGAGTGCTAATTATGAGCCCCGAACGAGACGCGTAAGCAGGGGTCATATTGTTTTTGTACGGTTTATTTGGTTTTTTATTTTTTTTCTCCAGAGATTTTTGGTCAACAGTAGCACAAAAACGGCTGCACCGGTCAACATGAAATTTGTCAGGACTGTAGATGAGTCTGCCCTACACTGAGTCAGCCAACAGTTTTACGATAGACCTCATATTTGAGGAGGGGGCTCCTTTCAAAGTGGGGGTGTCAAGACATGCAAAAATGCTTATAATTCAAAAACTGTTCAACATAGAATCTTCAGATTTCTTTTGTTGTTTAGCTCTGATGAAGCTCTATCCATCAGGCCCACCAATCAGTGCCCCCACCCCCCGGACCCCCAATTTATCTGAAAAAGGGGTATCTGGGCATACAAAAATGCTTACAGCTCAAAAACTATTAAACATAGGAGCTTCAGATCTCTTTTGTTGTTCAGCTCTGATGAGGGGCTATCCATCAGGTCAACCAATGCCCCCCCTCAGTTTTATGTTTTTTAGTATTGTATAATATAGTATAGATTCGTTTACCATCCAAGTTATCTCCACTTTGGCACGCTTCTCCTCCTGCATACTTTGTCCTAGAGCAGCCATTCTAATTTATATCTGTAAAGGTCCTGTGCCAAATGATGGCTATGCCTTTTGGTGCCTGTACAACTTATAGTTTTTGAAATATTAATGTTTAATAATTTATAATGGGAGTCAATAGAGCCTTGTATTGGTCCAATCTACCCAGTAATGAACCATAGTTTAATAATATTTGATCCCAACAGTTCAGTGGTTACAATACTAATATGATTGTATTTTGATGTTTTACTATAATGTCTTAATACTGCTCTATTGTTGTAATATTATGCAGTTTGGTGTCAATAATTGTATTGGCAATGTGGCCTCTTTCTGCACACATACAAACCAACCCCTGGCACCACCCTTGGCCACAGCTCCAATAGTCTAATCCTCAATGCCATGGACTTTCATGTGGGAGAACAGGGTTCAAAACGCAGCTAAAGCAACTTTAACAGAAAATCTCTACAAACATCATATTGTCACACAATTACCCTTATTACAAACACTTGCTGACTTGACAAGCACAAGCTTGTATAGAAAACACATTTGAACGAATGTTCATGAATGTTTTTTAGTATTGCCTCTGAAAGCCATTGGTTCTTTGCTATTTATTTGTAAATAATCAATCAGATAACATCTATTAAAGCAGTGATTCTCAACCCTGGTCCACAAGGACCCTTTTCCTGCAAGTTTAGATGTTTCAATGATTTGACACGCCTGGTTTGAATGAATGAGTGATTAACAATCTTCTGAAGACCTGCTGAATAGCAGGGAAACAAGTAAAACATGCTGGATAGGAGTACTTGATGACCAGGGTTGGGAACCACTGCGCAGATGAAAGCATGTCCCAGGCTGCCTGCAGATACAGACAGTGTCTCAGAAGCCTGTAGAGACCGACGGTGTTCAAGCCTGTGAGCTTCAGCGAGAAAGAAAGACGAGTGGTAAAACCTGTTTGAACTGACGAGGTTTGCCGAAGTGAGCAGAAGGTCCAAATTCATGTGTAATGGAAAAGTCCCATCCAGAGCAGGTGTAAGAAAACTCCAGCCGGGGTTTTTTTGAGAATCGGTTGTTAAATGGACAATGGATGAGGCCATCAGTTATATGGAAAAACCCGTGCTTCGGCTAACATGTTAAGAATCAAAGAGGGAAGATCAAATAGGCTCAGTTATCACAAGAAATGCTAGGTAGCAGCGTATTTATGAGTGGATACTTCAAAAAGGCTGTGTGATCATATATCTATAAATGAAATGTATTAAATTGAAGCTGTTAAATTAAAATGTGTCTTTGATGTGCTGAACTGTACGTTAACCTAAATGAAACAGACTGTAGCTGCGTTTCCATTACAAATGTGCGCAAAACTTTGTCGATATTCTGTTAATGTCAAAAAAACACAGTTTCGCAACTCCTTGTGTTTCCATTAAGTAAGAAATGCTATTAAAGTCACGCGTGAATACGTTTTTATTCTTATGATAAGTCATTACAAACATGGAGGCGATGGATGTAAACACAYAGCATGTTGCTACCACGACACTAGCGCTCATCATCAGAGGAGACGTCGGCGTCTTTTATCGAGGCTTTCCAGAGACAAGTCCCTACTTGGGAGCGGCTACGTATGCTGTGTTTTTGGGAAATTGTAGTCGGTGAGTTTACTATTTTATACTACTTCTGTGATATTAGTACTACTTCTACTTCCTGTTATCTTCTTCGTCGTCGTCTTTTTCACCAGTAGAAACAGCCGGTTGTTGATCATGTGACCCCAAAGATACTTGTACTTTTACTGAAGTATCACTTTGAGGTACTTTATACAACACTATAATACAATCAGTACAAATGGTAAACACCAAACAAAAAAGTACACACAAATTTTATAAAAAAGTATAAGAAACCATCAAAACTAATTTATAATTGTGTCAATAAATTAAATTTATCCTTTGGATTTATATCAGTTTTTGCAGCTCATGAAGTTATATTATTATACTGTTACTATACTGTTACTATACTGATACTATACTGATGCTATACTGATGCTATACTGATGCTATACTGTTGCTATACTGTTGCTATACTGTTTTACTGTTGTTTTACTGTTATACTGTTGTTTTACTGTTATACTGTTACTATACTGTTACTATGCTGTCATTATACTGTTACTATACTGTTATTATACTGTTGCTATACTGTTGTTTTACTGTTACTATACTGTTATACTGTTACTATACTGTTACTACGCTGTTACTATGCTGTCATTATACTGTTATTATACTGTTATTATACTGTTATTATACTGTTATACTGTTACTATACTGTCACTATGCTGTTATTATACTGTTACTATACTGTTACTATACTGTTACTATACTGTTACTATACTGTTACTATACTGTTATTATACTGTTACTATACTGTTATTATACTGTTAGACTTAATGAGGCTTTAGTTAATTTACCTCAGCACTTCTGAGTGATGCTGCAGAGTTTCAGCTGATAACAGCTAAAGCTTTACAGCTCTCTGCAGACGTGCAGAAAGGACTTGTTTCTTTCTGGGTTTGTTACCTGAAGCTGCTGCAGCTTCCTCCTGATGTCTCCTGAACAGATGTGCAGCATGTTGAGATAATTCCTCTCCGTCTGGATGAGCTCCTGGATGGCCAGCTGCTGCCGCTGAGCCTTCCTCTCTTTAGCTGCTGCTTCCTCCTCCTCACGTCTCCTGCTGGCCTCTTCTGCCAGCTTCTCCTCGGAGAAGGAGCTCTCCTCAGAGACACTGTCCCGGGAGGAGACACTGTCCCGGGAGGAGACCCTGACAACCGTTCCATGCTTTGTGTTTGAGGGACGAGCTGGAGACTCCTCCGCCGTCTCCTCCTCTGAGCTGAGCTCTCCGGCTTCGTTGTCCTTCTCTGAGACGCTGCCCGTCCTCTCCTGGACCGTCGTCTTCATTGAGCTTTTCCTCACGGCTCCTTGGGACCGGCGAGGAGACGGAGTTGGTGTGGGGAGGACCAGGGTGATGGGAGGCCTCCAGGGCACCTCCATGATGGAGATCACTGTCAGAGCAAAAGTTTGTGTTCTTAAAACAATAATATTTATTCAACAACTCCTTTTGTCTGATTTATACTAATTAATACCAAACTGAGCAGCATATTCTGATTAATAATGAGTAATATATATTAATAAGCATGCTTTTAGTTTAGTTTATTCATTTTATTTCATTTAAACATTTAAAGAAAACTAAATAC